GGTCTAATTTAAGGCATATTTTATTTTATTTTTAAATATTATATCTACGCCCTATTTTTTTTTTAAAAATAAATAATTCAAAGTAAGAAAAACATGTTACATAAGAATTGATAAGTAAAGTAAAATCTGAAATACTAGAAAAAAATAAAAATACAAAGAAACCAAAGCGATAAACCAGATAAAAAAGCAATAGATGACCGCAGAATAGTTGCGTAAAGACTTAAATAAGCTCTGAACTTAGGTAGTCCGGTAGAGAATCTGAGAAAACATCTACTCTGGTTGCCCGAAGACTATCAAAGAGTATTCAACGTCAGGCTATCATCATTGTTCAGGCAAGAAAAAACCTCCGTCCGAAGCCTGACAAATAAATTGAGCAGTTGGATTGCCGGCTTAAATTCATGAGACTGTCAGCAGAAAAGTTCAGATGCTGCAGAGAGGGTTCTGCACACAAAAGCTCTAGGATGTTCCCAGCCAAACTACAAGCACAGAGGGACTATAACTAGGAATATCCCTTATTTCCATTTAGAAGTTTTTATTTTCACCGCTTTCATAATGTCATCACATAATGTGAAATAAGACTTAGCCGAGTGAGAAAACCTGTGGCTATTCCTTTCACCCCTATATGATATATAGTGGCATTAAATAGTAAGAGATTGCTAAGTTTATCTTTATTCTCCCCCGGTAAGCCTCCAATGAATTCAATAGCCTGAGAGACATTGGATCTTAAGAGAAAATCTTGCAATTTGGGAATCAGTCGCACTAATACTTTGAACGAGTATTCGCTTTCAAAAAATAGATGAGTTATAGTCTCTGTGTTATTGTGACAAAAAGAACAAGTAGGATTAGCAATATAAATTCCTTTTTGGATTAGAACATCAGCAGTTTTGAGCCTGTCTAAAAGAGCCATCCAAGTGTATATAGAGTATCTCGGAGAGTGCTTCTTATGCCATATGAGGTTAGACCAATTCACTGAGTCGTCATTCACAAAAAACTCCATGTAGAAGTCTTTATAAGTAGCATTAGATTTTCCATCCAAGGTTATGTAATTTGATTGTCCCGATTCTATAGGGATGTTCCTAATGAACTCCCTGATATCCTCACTAATGGAATCTGGTATACACCAGTTACCATTATGAATCGAGTTACCAATAGTAATATTTTCCAT